TCAGTTTCCAAAACGATATTCAGGTCCTGAGTTTAACTGATAAAATTGGTTAAGCAAATTACAATATGATATGTTCTCTGCATGGAGTAACGTCTGTTCAAGTTCAAGTTCATTTTTATTTGTATAGCACATTTACAACAGCCACCAGGCTGACCAAAGTGCTTTCCAGAAGAGTAACAATTTTACCACATACACAGAGAACAAACCAGACAAAAATTTAAAACCGCACGTTTAAAAACTACCATATCACCGTAGTCAATACACTAAGGAAAACAAATAAGTTTTTAGCGAGGACTTAAAAACAGACAAAGAAGGGGTCATTCTAATCTCAAAAGGTAGGGTATTCCAGAGTCGTGGCCCTGCCACCGCAAATGCACGCTCCCCTCTACGCTTAAGCCTAACGTGAGGGACCACCAACAAGGCCTGGTCACAGGATCGTAGGCTTCTAGACGGAGTATAGAAGTAAAGAAGGTCAGATAGATAGACAGGAGCTTGGTTATGTAGGGATTTATATACAAAGAGGAGAATTTTAAAGTCTATTCTCTGACAAACCGGCAACCAGTGTAGAGATCTAAGAATTGGAGTGATGTGTTCATGTTTACGACACTTTAAAAGAAGTCTGGCCGCAGCATTTTGGGCAAGCTGAAGACTCTACATCACTGCCTGTTTAGCCCGGCTAAAGATCGTTTGATATGTACTGAGTATTTATGTGTTTTTAACTTAAATAGTTTGGGGCAGTCGTGGCCTAAGAGTTAGAGAGTCGGACTTGTAACCCGAAGGTCAAGGGTTAGAGTTTCAGGTCCGGCAGGGATTGTAGGTGGGGGGAGTGAATGTCCAGTGCTCTCTTCCACCCTCAATACCACGACTGAGGTGAGACCCTTGAGCAAGAACCGAACCCCCAACTGCTCCCCGTGTGTGTTCACGGTGTGTGTGTGTGCACTTGGATGGGTTAAATTAATTAATGACCAAATTCCGAATATGGGTCACCATACTCGGCCACACGTCACTTCACTGCACTTCACTAAATCACAGCAGCGTCCATCTGTGAAGACTGTAGGCTGTCAATCATACACAACTGTTAGCCAATCACAGCAGTGGGCGTTTACTTCAGTCTACAATCCTCCACGCCTACGCAAACAGAGCGCTCTGATGAGGGCTTAAAACAGCACAGAAAATAGACTATTACTTCTGAATTTATGATTTTTGATGTAAAAGATCTTGATAACATTATAAGTGGCCCTCAGAGAACAGTTGAAAATAATAAAAAATGTAGTTCATGACCCCTTTAAAGATGACATTTTGAAGTAGAAAGACTAGAAAAGTATTTTCTTGCACAATGTACTCTAATAACCTTTATTTACAAATTTGAAACATTCATCTGAGCTCTACAGGCCAGTGATGGTCAGAAACACAGCAAACAGCACTCACATCTGCTTCAGATCACATTAAGATGTTATACATGAGTATTTTCTCATTAATATTCTCCCGGTGAATTGAGTCGGGGACAATCGGACACTCCAGAGATCGACGGCATCTCCAGAGAAACTTAAACACGCGTCTTCAGAGAGCCTCATCACCGCAGGCAATTAACAGCAGCGATCACGAGCGTGATCTGAACGTATAATCACACTCGACGGCTCTCCAGAGCTTTCCTCCGCTGGAAAACATTCAACAGCCCCATCAGAGAAGATCAGGCCTCGTATCGGAGAAGGAGAGCAGCAATATTCACAGACAAGAGCTTGATTCTGACAGC